TATTTTAAGAAATGGGATCACAATTTTAATGCATTCATAATTACTCTGATTTAACACAACTGATTTCTTTTTTAAAAATATTTATTTTTATTTATCTCAATAGCAAAATTAGAGAGCAAGAGAGTGAGAGAGATTCTATCTGCTGGCTTACTCCACAGATGGCCAAACCAGCCAGAGCTGGGCCAGACCGAAGCCAGGAGCCAGGAGCTTCTTTCAGCTTTCCCACGTGGGTGCAGGGGCCCAAGCACTTGAGCGATCTTCCTATGCTTTTCCCAGGTGCATTAGTAAGGAGCTGCATCTGAAGCAGAGCAGCCAGGACTCACCTGGCACCCATATGGAATACTGGTGTTGCAAGGCAGCAGCTTTACCTGCCGCAGCACAACACAACTAATTTCTTTCTTCTGGTCTCCCATTTAGTATTTATTCATGCATACATTTATTTATTATTTTTATTGATTTGAAAGGGAGAGTTAGAGAGGAAGAGAAACAGAGAGAAGAAATCTTCTGTCCACTCATTCACTCCCCAAATGGCCACAACAGCCAGGGCTGGGCCAAGCTGAAGCCAGGAAACCAGTGCTTCTTCTGGGTCTCCCACATGGCTGCAGAGGACCTAGGACTTGGGCTATCTTCTGCTGCTTTCCCAGGAGCATTAGCAGCGAGCTGGATCTGAAGTGGAGCAGCCAGGTCTCAAGCAGATGCCAATATGGGATACCAGCATTGCAGGTAGAAGCTTCACCTGTTACTATTTATAATCAGAGCATACAGTTTTATGTTATGCTTTCTTTATTATTCCCCATATTCCCATTTATTGCTATAATGTCTTCCTAATATACAATTGAATTAATATGCAAACCTGTCCTTAAATGCCCCCTCCTAAATAAAGTCTATTATAAACTGATATAAATAATGCTACATTTGTAAATTTTTTTTTTATTTTTTGACAGGCAGAGTGGACAGTGAGAGAGAGAGAGAGAAAGGTCTTTCTTTGCCGTTGGTTCACCCTCCAATGGCTGCCGCGGCTGGCACACTGCGGCCGGCGCACCACACTGATCCGATGGCAGGAGCCAGGTGCTTCTCCTGGTCTCCCATGGGGTGCAGGGCCCAAGCACTTGGGCCATCCTCTACTGTACTCCCTGGTCACAGCAGAGAGCTGGCCTGGAAGAGGGGCAACTGGGACAGAATCCAGCGCCCCAACCGGGACTAGAACCCGGTGTGCCGGTGCCGCAAGGTAGAGGATTAGCCTAGTGAGCCGCGGCACTGGCCAATGCTACATTTTTATTTCCTTGGAATAATTTGTGAGGAGGATCACTAGGATCAATGATTTGAAATATATTTAAGGACTCGATATAAAATACCATACATATATATATATTATAATATTGTAAATGTGAGACTGTTCTTTTTCTGGTAGTCTCATCTTCAGTGTATGCTTTAGTATTTGTAATTGTACTTACTACAGTATGAGTGTCATTTTAGTTTTATTTAAATTCCTTTTATTGAGATAATTATATATTGTTCATTGTTTAAGTATCAGTGTGACCTCATTAAAGAAATGATGTGATCATCAAACGAGCTTAAAGTTGAAATCTCAACTCAGGTCACTTTCTGTTGTATTAAGTGAACAAATTTCCCAAAGTTTCTCCATTTGTAAAGTGATAAAACCAATGTCTTCTAAACAGAACTGTTGAAATAATGTGATCAGATAATGGATGCTTGGAGTGCAGTGGTGGCTACATAAGAAATTATTACTTCTCCTACACTCTGTCTCTGCTTTCCGGTTTAATTTACCAACATTGCCACTCTTGACTTCTTCTTCCATGGATTACCCAAGCAGATTCTTTTGGTGCAAAGTTTTCTGGATCCCACTTTGTCATTCTCGAAATTACCTCCTTCTGGACAATTGTCCACATTCTCTAGAGCCTTGATCACTTGGGCAGCAAGTGTTGAGTTCGATTTCAAATCACTCAGTTCAGATTTGTTCACCCCATGAATTTCCTCAAGTATTTACACAACCAAATTGAAATATACTTTAAATAAATACCTTGCTATAGATTGTTCATTTTCAAATGATAGATGTAGCTTAATTTGTCTCTTTAATGTCTAATGAAGTTATGCCCCCTGAAAATATGTTTCCTAGAGACCTTTTGCTTTATTCTGCTGTTTATTTAGTTTGATTTCAGGTCATATTTAGTTTAATCTTCCTTTTGGTATATCCTGCCCAAGATCAGCAAGCCCATTTCTTGTAGCAACAGACGTAGTTTGTCCAGCGAATTTAAGACAATTACAAAAAGTTGTATGTCTTTCTGCTTCTGCTATTTGTGCTGTCTCTGGCTTGTACCTAGTGTATTTTCTAGGCATTATTGTTCATTGTTGTCTGGAAATTGCTTTCTGTCTTGAGGGAATTTATAGCAGCAACTGCCTTTTTAAGCAATCACTCTTTAAAGCAAAAATAATTCCTGACATCTTATAAGGCATCAGAAAGCCTGTAACAAGCACATCGTTCCTGGATTGGAAAAGCATTGAGAATATAAATTTCTATCTTCTTTCATGATGGCAAGGCACTTTGGGGGCTACCAAAAGATTTTTTACTCTGTCACCCTCATCGTGAGAAATTGAACCGTGGAAGAAATATTCTAAGCAGCTCTACTTTAGGAATTTAAAAGGGAAAAAGGGAAGAAGAAGGGGGCTGGGGGAAGTCGTCCTCACTCTTTCCAGCTTCTAGGCTGTAGGGCTACTTTAGATTTTATTTTTCTTAGAGCTGCCTTCTTTTAGTGTATCATAGACAAGTGTTTTACATTTTTGCATAACTAAATATGCTCTGACCCCTGCCATACCCACTCTCCAAGCCATTTTTGCATGTTATAAAGGAATACTAGTCTCCTTTCTCACCTGAATGTGCATACAATTTTAACTCTTACGTGAATCCAAGCCCCTTGGCTACACCCTACTTCAGTAAGGTTAATAAAATAGCAAGGTACCAGCATTGTGACACAGAAGGTTAAGCTACTGCTTACAATGCCTGAAGTCTCTGATCCCACTCCTTGCTAATGCACCTTGGAAAGCAGCTGAAGGTGGCTCCAGTTGTTGCAGCTACTTGGGGAGTGAACCAGAGGGTGAAAGATTTGTCTATTTTTCCTTCTGTCTCTGTCACTCTGCCTTTCAAATAAATAAATAAATACTTTTTAAAATAAGTATATCAGAGGTAGAATGACCAGTTTTTCCACTGTTCCTGGAGAGTACACAGTGTCAACATGTATTTGCCACGTGGCTATTATTGAAACAAGGTAGAAAAACGTGAATCTAATCACAGTCTGTTTCTACCCCATGCTCATGTTCATGAATCGAAAACAGGAAGAGTGATAGTAGATATAGCCCAGTTCTGCCCAGAACCCCCTCAGGAACACACAACAACACTGCTTTTGCTATCATGAAGTAGAACAATGACCATCAGGGCCATTGCATGTTCTCCAGTGGGCCACGTGAAATTCTTCAAGGACTCTGGCAGCACAGAAGTAGGATTGGCTCCCTGCTCTTGGCCTCCACTCCCAGTGTACATGAATCAGTCTATGGACTGAGGCAAGTCCCTTAGCATTAGTTCCCCTAACACATGGGAGAAGAAAGGTTACACTTCCTACCTAACAGAAAGATTGTCAAGCAAGAATGAGATAATCCATATACAGGGTTTCGGGAAGTTTTTCCAATTCTTGGGATTGATTGATTACTGTTAAGCCCATCTGCAGTCATTTAAATCTGTAAAAGAATGTTCTGCCATTTTGCTATATACATTCAATTTCTCTGCATTTTGCTAAATCCCATGGAGGCAACTTCCAGAATGTGCCATTCTCCTTCATCTTGCATCTGAACACACTGTGGAGTACCTTCCTCCTCCCCTTTCCCCTCCTCCCTTTGTCTGTCACTCTCCTATCCAGCATTCAAGGCTCAGCTTAAAGACCCTCTGCTCAGTGACATCAGCTTCAACCCTCTGTGCTTCTTGGATAAGCAATTTTTTTAGTACTCCACACACAATAATGAGTTGACCTGCATCCTTCTTAGCCTCTCACTTGAGTAGACTTGAACTTTTTGAGGGCAGGACCAAATTCTTTTCATTTTCTTAAAACCTAATTTGTGTTATTTGCTCAGTGACTGTTAACTGATATGATCAATGAATGTCAAATACTTGCTGTGGAACAACAAATCAAAGCGATTTTTTAAATTATTAGCTGTGTAGCTCGTCAGGGAAATTTACACTAGTCCTTGTCTTAGTATGCTTTGTGCTGCTATACTGAAATGCCACAAACTGGGAAATTTATAATGAGCAGAAATTTTTTTGGCTCACATTTCTGGATCTGGAAAGTCCAAGATGAAGGTGACAGCTTCTGCATAGTCTCACTAATGCTTCATCACATGGCAGAATAATTCGTTCTTTAACAGCAGAAGACTGAAGGGTGAGAGAGGGCAAGAGCGAGAGAAGGTGAACTTGCCCTTCTATGCAGGCATTACTCTTACCCATGAAGAGCCTATCGATGATCCTGTTATTACTGCTACAATACCAATTAAATTTCAACATGATTTTTGGATGGGACATTCGAAGTATAGCAGTTTTATATATGTAATATGAATTTCTGTACATTACATATATATGTAAATATTTATGTATGCATATTATATGTAGGTATAAAAAGAGATAAAACTTATGCTCCAAATTAGTTAAAGTATCAAGTTGAGAGCATATGACCTTATGTAGAGAACCCAAAATGGTAGCATCAGTGTGGATAGATTATGCAAGACCACTATTTCCATTGTAACTGTCATGTATCACTCATTCAGCAACAGGAATTTCTTGATTAAGTACATTTGGGAAATGCTGGGATAAATCTTCATTTATGAGATCTAGCATTTAATTAAAATTATATGTTGTAATTTAATGATTTGAGCATCCTACTTGGTCTTTTATCATTGTTTAGACTTATTCATCCCTTCCTTTTTTATTTTACTTTCAGATACTTTGGTGTCATGGAACCTGGTTTCTTTCCACAAGGAAAGTTTGGCAAACAGCGCAGTCTTTAATACATTGTATTGGTTTGATGATCCTACCTGATATAGGTATGTAAAACCTCTAATATATGCTTATCCATCCTTTTGAATCTATGGGTGTTTATCCATGACTGTCAATTATTGAGTGTGTTCTAAAGAGTTAAACTTCTGTATTATAAGATAATCTTTGTCTTTTCAAACCAAGAAGAGTTTGCTCGTAATTTGATGTTGTGATGGTTGAAGACCGTTCATTTTCTTTGTCATATGATAAGCCTAGAGAATCTATCCAAGAGAAAGGGAGAAATTCTGTGTTCATATGGTTCTGAAAATAATGATGTATCTACAAAGGGATGGAAATCAAATATATGAAACATGACTAATACCTTGGTTTTCTTGTAAGTGTAGTGTCTTTAGTTCAAAATTGTGACAGAAAGCTTATCAATTTCTCCTACCCTCAGAATCATTTCAGGCTCAACTGAGTACTGCGTTATAAGCTAAATGACTAAGCACATGATTTAATGAATGAGTGCTTGATCAGTAAGGATTTGTGACAGATTTTCTATTGTTTATAATGACATACATATGACATAGAAATAAATACAGTAGTTAACAATATCATTGTTGAATGAATCTTCTTCAAGGGAGTGTTCTGAAATTAGTTTTCCATAATATATAAGCCTTGTGGTTCATGAGCCAATCAAATTCAGACTACTTGCATGAGTGCTATGTGTATGTGATACAGATCAATAATATAATTACAAACATAGATAACTCACTATATCATATAACATATATGCATGGGTATATATTTGAGTTTATACTATGTTATGACTAAGGGATGCCTTATTTATAAAATTCATTGCTTGCTTGATTTGTACTCTTAAAAATATTACTAGAAATATAGTAGGCATGTTGAAATGCTAGTATATAAAGATGTCTTGAATCTGTTTTCAGAGGAAAAACTCTGTAACGTCTCCCCTACCCACCCTACTCTCAGCAAACTAAACGAAACCAAATCTGATAAAACTGACTTTGGGAAGTAGCATAGGCCTGAGAATTAATCAGGTATGAGTTCAAGACTACTTGTACTACTTAAAATGACAATGAGAATGTCTTTTGTATTTCCTTAGAAAGAGTTATTTAATTCTGGAAGGAAGAAAGGGGGTGGGGAGGGGAGGGAGTGAGAGAGGGAAATTAATCAATCCAAAATTGCAGTGCTCCTTAATATAACAGGTCACCTCTATTCTTTGTGAGATATTAAGTAATTAATGGATGTGTCCCTAAGCGTCTCCAAACAGTTCCACTCCTGTGTTCTGTGAGAGTCTGAAATCTATAGTTTAACCTCCCTGATTTAAGGCAAAAGTTAACAACAGTCACCTACATGGTAGGGCTATCTTAATTTGTTTCTAATGTTTTCTGTGTGTCATTGTCTACACAAAGTTGATGTGCACGATGTTAAAAATTTGCTAAGTCAAAAAATCAGAGCAGTTTAAAAATCTAGGTCCCATGTTTTGTCTTTCTCTTTAAACACCACTACAAGTAAATTAGGTGCTCAAACTAGAAGCGTATGCCATACAAGATACTTCCCTCATCTCATTCTCTCTCTGTCTAAACCATCAAGTCATCCACATTCTTCTCTGAGTCCATGGGTCTGAATCCTCACTGGGAAAAAGATACTGGTGCTTGAGCTGCACTCCATAAAATTAAGTCAACAACTCTGATGCCCTGGCCGGCATCATAGGCATTCCATATGGGTGCTGGTTGGAGTCTCTGCTGCTCCACTTCTGATCCAGATCCCTGCTAATGCACTTGGGAAAGCAGTGGAGGATGACCCATGCCTTTGGGCACCTGTACCCACATGGGAGACCAACAGAAGCTCTTGGCTCCTGACTTTGGATCAGCTCAGCTCCAGCCATTGCAGTCATTTGGATTGTCTCCGTCTCTGTCTCTCTCTGCAGCTCTTTTAAATAAACCTTCTTAAAAAAAAGTCCCTCAACCATTTTAACGTGGATCCATTGCCTTAATAGCTTTATTTCTCTTCATATCACCTGTTGTCATTCCTGGCCCAAGACATGTTTGTCACATCTTTTTCTCGCCAGCCTTTTTTGATGGCCCCTAAATCATCTTTCCATTTCCACTTTGTCCCTGCTCAGTGCAGTCTCCACCCAGCAGCCATAATAATTGTTTACAGGTAAATATGTGAACAAGTCTTGCCTGAACCTCTTCAATAATAATAATAATAATATATTTTTTTGGGGATTAGAACTTATAAATATATATTTTTTTTAACTTTTATTTAATGAATATAAATTTCCAAAGTACGATTTATGGATTACAATGGCTTCCCCCACATACCGTCCCTCCCACCCACTACCCTCCCCTTTCCCACTCCCTCTCCCCTTCCATTCACATCAAGATTCATTAATAATAATAATATATTAATAGATGATGATCGTTTATACATTGGTTGAATGAATAATTTAAAATTGAGCTTTTTTGAAGGACCAAGGAATTGTGGTATTAAGTTTAAAAGAAATTTTATGAAAGGTGTAGCTGAAGTTAGCTCAGCAGTTATGTCCAGTTCCACATCTGGCACAACAGCTAATCTAACAGTAACCTCTGCTTGGATTTCTCTACCAGAAAGTGACCTATAGGCCAGAAACCTTTCTGCCACATCATAAATTGTCACTTAATTACTGCCCCTAGTTTACCCTATTCTCAGGAGCAAAGAAATGTTAGAATTGGGGTTTCACTATTCTAAGATTAATTTTATATCTAACTACTAAAGGCTGTTAATTCTTCCTCCTTCATAGTTGCATAATTCATCTGGAAGAAGTCATTACTGGTGTCCTTATAGTCTGAATAACAGGAAAGAGAGAAGGTGGGGAAGGAAGAGAGAGAGAGAGAAATTGATTTTGACTGATTGGAGGGTTTATAGCGTGGATCCTTTCACCCACTGCTCAGATGTTTAGACAACCTTTCTCTTCATCAATAGATAGTGTAAATCCAGTTCTTTATTTGAATTGCTGTGGAGATGTTTTTGTTTCCACCAGTGACATACGATTTGAGGATAAGCCATTGAAATCTCTCTGTTATGCTCATAACCACCAAACATGGTAAATGACATATTTCCCATCAAAAGGGAAAAATATGGAGTTTCTTAAGAAAACTGTCTTCTAAAAGTATATCATCGGAATTATTGTAATACAGTTTTAATCAAGATTTAAAAAGAAATCAATATATTCAAACCAGATTGAAGATGAGTGGAAACTTGGGTCCATGCAGCACTACTGGTATACAATACAGTCAACTTTTGTCTCATACTGCTGACAACTTCTGTCTTCAGTTTTTTGTTTTTTTTTTTAAAGATCTATTTGTTGAGACCATCACTGTGGCACAGTCAGTTAAGCCTCTGTCTGCAGTGCCAGCTTCCCAGATGGGTACCAGTTCAAGTTCCAGCTATTCCACTTTTGATACAGCTCCCTGCTGATGCACCTGGGAAAGCAGCAGAAGATGGCTCAAGTACTTGGGCCCCTGTACTCATGTGGGAGATCCAGAATAAGAGAGGGGAGAGACAGAGAGAAAGATCTTACATACACTGGTTTACTCCCCCCATAGCTGCAACAGCAAGCGCTGGGCCAGGCTGAAGCCAGGAGCCAAGAGCTTGATCTGGTTCTGCCTGGAGCGTGGTAGGTGCCCAAGCACTTGGGCCCCCTCCCACTGCTTTTTCAGGGCAGCAACTTTACCCACTAGACCATAATCCAGCCTCTTGTCTTCGGTCAACACTAAAACAGTTCAAGGAATTGTTCTTAAAATAATATAACAAAAATATGTTTCTGCCATTGTCATTGAGAACAGACTCATTTACCTAGATATTGAATTAGATCAGAGGCATAGCTACCTTCCTTACCCTAAATGATTTTCATCAGTGAAGCTAAGCTATATTTGAAGCCCGAGTTTACCCAGATAGTATGCCTGTGCAAAGGTATCCTGAGTTTAAAAAAAGCAGTTGATTTTCTAAGCTTTCTCTTAAATATTTATTTTGGTATAAAAATGTGAACCAAAATAGAAAGACGAACACATACACACTGAGCATCCCTAGAGACATGTTACAGAGCAGGACTTATTAATGCATTGCCTTTGTGTTTCCTCTTGGGATCCAGATGCACTAGCCTTGTGCACAGTTCTCTGTGGAGAGCAGAGCTGTAATGAGGACACAGATGCTTTTCATGCCTTGTTAGGAACGTTGTGGAAAGGATTCAGGTGCTGATGCTCCTTATCTTTTAGAAATATACATTAATACGTTCAAATAGTGCAAAGCCATTTCTTTCTTGATTCCTTGTATTCTTGAGTGTCCACATTCACGACAGAAGAGGATTAAGTGCTCTGTGAAACGGATTGTATTGTCACCACATGGCACATCTATTGGGAGGGAAATTAATAACGTCTGAAGTGAACATTGAATTAAGCATGCTTCATCTTGTATTTTCCACTGCTTTTATTCATTTTCTATTATCTCATTTTAATCAAAGAGATTCCCTAAAACTGATGTACATGCAGTTAATTCAGATTCATTAAAACAGTCTAATGTGAAAATATAAAGGAATTCTTTACTGTGGTGCAGAAACAATATGGACATTTCATAATACTGAGTTGATTTGCCTTATATTAATATGTCAAATGGCTCAAACTATACACATTTTTAATGGATATTATTTTGTGAAATCTTCTGTTATCAGTGTAATTTCCCTAGTACCTTATATTGACTTTTGCAATGGATTATTTTGGAACAAAAGGTGTATCCTTCCAGCATCCTCCATGCTTAGACCATATTAGATTTCAATAAATATTTGTGGAATGAGCAAATGAATAATTCAAATGCGTCTTCCTTTTAAACACAGCAGATGTAATTATACCAAAGCTAGGAACTGATTTAACCACCAAACTAGATTCATGAAGTAATGAGCAATAAAAATGTTAATTCCTCAGATTAGAGACTATATCTGGTATGCTGTGCTACAGCAGAGAGGTGCGTATCATTTTTAAGTGCTTTGGATAAAGTCAGAGGG